CATCATCATATTACACAACAACAACAACAACATTGTATTTCTGATCAGATTAGTTTCCGAAAAATTTCCGAAATTATTTCCGAAATTATTTCTACGATGATGATTTAGCTCAATTTTGGGGCCGGAATCAATGACAAACCAATAAGAAATGAGAAAAAACAAAACAAAAATTGACAATTCATTGGGAATCATTTAGCAAAAAAATATCGATGATGATGATCAGAACGATAAAAAACAAATTGGAAAACAACAACACAATGACATAACGGAATCATCATGTCATGTCATCATCGATATCCATTTCCTTTGGTCGTTTTTGTTTGCCTGTCTTTTTTTCATCGATGACCAATGTTGTTGATGATGATGATGATGAGTAAGCAAATCATTCATTGAACCTTTCTCTATCTATCTTGTCGATGACCTGATCAGTTTTAGTTTTTCTTCAACAAAAAAAAAAACAATTCTCATGAAATGATAATTTTGAAATGAAGAAAAAAATTAACCTCGAAAAATTTGTGAAAAAAAAGATGACAAAAAAGGTGAAAAAAAGTCAAGTTTTTTTTCTTGGATGAATTCTGAATGCCCGACATACATAATGATGATGACACGATGATCATAATGATTCTTATTTGCCGAACCGTGTTTTCAACTCGTTCCGAAGGTCAATTATGTCGAAATAGTGTGTTCAATGATGATAATAATGATCATAGAATAATAATAATTTTTTTTCGTCCAAAACGAAAACCGCCTTATTATGTTAAAATAGTCCGACAATAATAATATTAAAGATCGTGTCAGATTTTCTCAAATGCGCGTGACCAATAATCAGAATAACGAAAAAAAAACTAAACTAAACTAAACACATTCAGTCAATCAATCAATCAAAGTTAATTTCTTTTTTTAAAAAAAAACTTTTGGTTAAATGGTAGCTAATCATCAACAACAACAACAAAAAACAACCACTGACAACTGAGAGGTGATAATTGAACATTTGAAAAAATTTAAATTTGACCAAATGACCAACGAATCATCGAAGCAATAATAATTGATCAACCAAATTGACAAGAATTTTGTTTTAATCTAAGACTGATCATCATCATCAATGATCATCAAGCAACAAGCAAAGACATGTTAATGATTACACTGATACAATTGATCGATTGATTGAATGATTGATCAGATGAAGAAGAAGAATGAAAAAAAGAATTCTTCAATTGCAATGACACGCAAACCACATCAACGCCACCACCATATAGTTACAATGTGATAATTATATCGGTACCAAACAAATAATTATGATGATGATCAAAGACAAGTAGCCATCATAATCATCATCTTACCAAGATGGTCCATAGGGTCGTGTCAAATAACCCAAATGAAAAGGTGTTAGGTTGTGAAGAAATTACCACTGTTAGCCAAATGCTAATGATACCTGAATGATCATAACGAGTCTAGACAAACAAACTGGACAAACTGTTCAATTTTTTTAACACCAAAAAAAAAAATGATGAAAATTGATGATGATAGTTCAACCAACCAACCAACCAAACAAAAAACAGATTGGTCCAGGTGGCCACGTTCTATCATCATCACCCAAAATTTATGATAATAATTATTATTATTATCAGCTCTAATTAATCACTTCAGGTGTGTTTTTGTTGTTGTTGCTGTGTTTGACCACAATTTGTGAATCAATCAAACTTGAAATTGGAATTGGAAGAAAACCAGAAGCAACGATGATGGAAAATTTGTTGTTGTTGTTGATGATGGAAAAAACAACAACAACAACAACAAAGGTGTGAATAATAATAATAATAATAATAATAATTTGACTGGAGTTTGGCTACCAATTTTTTTGGGTTTTCTTGATTATAATCATCCTTACCAACAGGTAACTAAAATGAATGGTTTGAATATTCATGGAAAAAAACAATGGTATTATGGTTTGTTGTTGTTGTTTTCTTTGATCTTCTTGATGATAATCATCATTATCAACGAAAAATATGGATAATTTTACAAAGTTGTTGTTGTTGTTGTTGTTGTTGTTGATAGATTTTTTTTTATTTTCACCCAATCTTATTTCCCGATTAATTGATTTTCCAATTAACCTGAATTTTTTCAATTTTTTCTTTACCTTGATATTTCACCTTCACCGCCGCTTTACAAAAGTTTTTGGTTTTCTTTTTGGTTTTTTCTTTTTTTGTTTGTTTGGCAAATCTTTGATAAAATTCATTACACATTTTTCTCCCATTGTGATTTTTGTTGCTTTTTATTCGCTCTATTTCTTTTCTTGTTGTTATCTAATCTTTTTTTCTCGTTATTTTTCAATTAAAAAATGCGCAAGAGAGAGAGAGAGAGAGAGAGAGAGGGAAGGAGTGCGAAAGAAATTTTTTAATGAATGAAAATGATTGGGCGTCAATCACCATCATCATCAACAGTTTAACTTGATGAAATTAATTAATTTCCAGACACAGCAATAATAATAGTGGAAATTTGTTGATCGAAAAGTTTTTTTGAATCTTTTACGGGAAAATTTTCTGGTTCTATGGTTTTTTTTGAACAAAAAAAAATGTCAAAAATTAAAGACAATAAATTTGTATCAATTACAAAAGGTGTTGTCATTTGATATTTTTGATATTTTTTCAATTTAAAATAAATCAAGGATCAAGGAATCAAGAAGAAAACAAAAATAATCATCGTTCCATATCGACCAAATAATCAAAAATTCATCACGCTCATTGTAATAACATAACAATATATGGCTACAACAATATGGCTAATGTTTTGCAACTTGCAATAATCATCATCAAATTTTGCTCCAATTTCGTGACATACCGTTATATGTTACACACACACACACACATGATAATACTGAACATTGATTGATTCATAACAAAATGATAATATTATCATCATCATCAGCATTTAGATGAAATTTGTCAATCATCAAAATTTGTATTTTTTGTTTTGTTCAACGTTTAAAATCGTGCAAATTTTTATCATTATTGTCATCATCGCCATCATCGTCATCCAAATACAAATGGCAATGACATGATCACAATAATGACAACAATAGAAATGAATCTTTATTTTGTGACAAAAACTTTTTTTAAAATGATAATAATGATGACGATATCGAATAATATCCCTATATGTGTTAAACGACAAAAAATGTGCTCATAATCAATGTTACCATTCATAGATAACGTTATAATTAAGATATTCATTGATCCAAAATAAATGATAAGATTTGCTGTTTTTGTTGTCTTGATTTTATATTCATCATTTTTCTTTTGAACACAAATTGAACAAATGAACATTAAACGGCTTGAAGACACGATCGTTATTTTTTGGTCTTTTTCTTCGTTTTTTTTTGTATTTGGAGCAAATTTGTCTAAATTCGGAGACGTAAAATCTTTTTTTCTGTCGATATTGATGATGATGACGACGTCGAAACAAAGTCGTTGAAATATTTTCGATTTGAACACAACAACGATGATGATGATGACCATTTGGCATGACTTTGCGTGACCAAAACCGAAAAAAAAATCTTCGCCTGATGATGAATGTCAGCCAATGAATATATGATGATGATGATGATGATGATGATGATGATAAGACGTCGACATAGATCGAAACCAATTCATAATAAGATCGACAACATCATTGATGATGAATGAAAATGGTCGACCATTTTCAAACAACAACAACAAAAAAAAAATAGATGATAATGATGACCATCATCATCATCAAGATGAAATTGTGTTCGAATAAATAAGAACACGCGTGTATATAGCAACAGTATTATCGAACAACAATGACATAAACAAAAATGGAATTGAAGGAAAAAAATGATTAAAATCATCATCATTGAGCAAGCAGAAAAGAAAAATTCGTCCAGAAAAACATCGTTTTGAATTTTTGCCAAGAAAAAACACATCAGACCAGAATGGAAAAGAAAATCGGTGTAATGTGTGTATTTGAGCCTTTAATTGAAGCTTAGCGCTTCAATTTGAATCCAAATAATAATAAAAATTGGACACGAAGAATCATATCATCCGAATAATCATAATTATAATCATCATCTTCGTTGTTGTCGTCATCGTCGTCGGACATTGTGGATGATCATCCGGATGATGATTATGATGATGATGATGATGATAAAATGATGATGACCGCCACATTGATTTTGAAAAGAAATCGCACACACATATGAATACTTTATAAACAAATTGGCCTAATTTGTTTTGGAAATTACCACAAAAAAATTTCGTAACAATAATGATTTGAAGATTGAAGAAAGATTCAAAAATTGGTTCAAAAAAAGCGACTAAATTTCTTGAAATTAGTATACCAAATTGATGATGACTAGCCAATTTTTTTTTCGTTTCGTTTCATCAACTAAATCATCATCAACCATGGTGATGATCATTATCATTATTATTATTATTATCATCATCATCAATTCGATGTTTCGGTGAGTTCAATTAGCACACACACACACACACACACTTTCAACACAACAAATCAACAGGTGTCAAAATAGACGCAATCAAGAAAAACATTCGAAAATGTTTGGTCATTGTCATTGAATATATATTGTCTTCATCTTCATTATCTGATTATCTGGATGATTGAAAAAACACCATCATCGTCATTATCATCATTTTCAATTATAACATCCAATTGATAAAACAATTGATGAACATTCACCCAAAAAAAATCATAATTTAGTGGATGAATGAAACGATTCTATGGCGTGATAATAACAAGAATAATCAATCGATCGATTCATTTAGTTTTCAAAAAAAATTAATTAATTTAATCATTTATAATATTTTTCCACATAATTATAGGTATTGTTTTTTAAGCAAACGAAATTATTTAAAAAAAATTGTTTTAAATTGACTAGAAGATTGTGTTAGCAATAAATTATTCAGCTTTCTCGATTCGATTTGTCTGTATTTGGTTTTATCGAGAAAATAATCAATAAAATTTTTGGTTTTCTATCTACTCCAACCTAAATCCGGATCTTCATCATGATTTGGTTCAATTTCCGAAACATTATCCGGATATAATATCGATTGATCATAATCCATATTATCATTATCATTGAATGGATGATAATTATGATGATCATTAAGTTTTGTTTTATAATTATAAATAATATGATTATCATTTGGATAATGTGGATGATAATTGATTTTCGTTGAAATATTATTCGAATTACGATTATTGCCATTATTACCATTATTACCATTATTATCATTATTTTGTCTAATTTTTTCCATTTCATAATGATTAATATTCAATTCAATCCAATCTAAATATGATTCAACACGTGTATAGATACCGGGTAATTTTGGTAGTGCACAACCTTTATCAAAAGAAAAAAATTATTTCGAAATCAAAATTTAGATGAATTAAATCTCACTTACCAATACCAGCCGATACAATACCAACAACACGATATTGTTCAATCATACGATTATTAATTGAATCATATGTAAGTAAACGTTCCAACATTGGACCACCAGAATCACCCTGTAAATATGACATTTTTATATTGAAATAAAAATCATTCATTCATTATCAAATACAACTTACACGACAAGCATCTTTACCACCTTCATAAAGACCGGCACAAAATTGTCGTTCAATTAATTGTATTGGTCGTGAACGACTTGCATACCAACGTTCACATGTAAAACGATCAATAAATGGTAATTCAACTTTTCTTAATTGTAATAAATCATCTGAATCTAATACAGGATTCATTATTGTCCAACGACCATCATTATCCATATTATTATCGATATATAAATTGTTTGTATTCATAGAATCATTACGCATACGATTCCATTGTTCAACAAAATTATCGGCTAATGTATTAAGTGATTGTGTTGATTGATCCATTGTTGTTGTTGCACTTGAACCTGAACCAGATGAATCACCATGACGTTCAACTGAACCCCAACCAACAACAATTCCGGTTGAATGATGATCCAATGTTGGTAATGATAATGATGGTGGTATCAAAGTTGATGATGAAGTATGAACAGCAGCAGCAGCACGATAACCACGTCTATGACTTAATTTTAAATTCTCATCATCAACATCAACATCGAGATCAGAATTTGTATCATCAACATTATTGATCGAAGTTGTTGTTAAATCATCTAAATCTTCATGATGATGATGATAATAATTTGATGGCTGATGTCCATTAATCGAAGTTGTTGATGTTGTGGATGATGATGATGATGGTTGATTTTGATTCAATATAGATGTAGCCATCGATATTGTTGGCAGACAAACTGGTGATATATTTTCATTATAGACAATTTTTTCACTAAGTCTATGGATGAAATAAACAGTGAAACAAAAAAAATTTAATAAAATTAAAAAGCCATTGAAAATTAATGATAATTTTATGCAATCATTTTGAAATCAAAATTGAATCATAAGCGCGTACTACAAATGAAAATGTCACCTGTCAAAAAAAAGATGTTTGAATGAAAAAATTTTCTGGTTGATGATAATGATCAATTCGAAAAATCTAAATTGAAATTAATAAATCAAATTGTTTGGGTCGGAAAATTGAAATCAAGAACGAATCAATTTTTCGAAGAAAAAAAAACTACCACTAATCATCATCGTTGGTGAAAAGAGAGATGTTATCAATTGAATTTGAATTTTTGTTTTCAAAGTAAAATTGAATTTAAAAAACCAACCAAAGAAGATAATGTCAAAATAAGTGAGCTGCTCGTTTCAACTAAATCAATTTTTTTTTCTAAACCAAAAAAAACGCGTTGGTAGGTTGTGGGATAGGAGGTGTAGAATTGAATATTTAAGTAGGTATTAATTGTTTAATCTTATTCGATGCTTTTTTTCTCCTTCCCAAAATGATCTTCAAGATAAAATTAAAAAAAAAATCCAGGCCTCACCACCACCATCATCATTGGCAATTAATTAACACCTCTCCGATCAGAGAGAGAGAAAATGGGATCGAAACCTAAGAAGATAATTGAAAAAATAAAAGATGAAGATTGATTTGATTTGATTTCTGGTGTGGCCAGGCCAGCCAGCCAGTCAACAGTAACCTACGAATTTTAAGTAAAATCTAATCGTTAGGTCTGCCTTGGTTGGATTTGTTCATTTTTTGTTTTTCGATGGGATAGATTGATCTCATAATGTTGATTATTAGAGAAATGGATAAGTATAGCGAATAATTAATTAGCAGTGGATGAAGTAACGAAAAAAAAAATGTTTCGTTCAAATATGCATCGAATATGATAATGTAAAAAAATGTTTCGGTAAACCAAAAAAAAAAAAAAAAAAAAAAAATGGAAAAAAAAAAAAAAAAATAAAAAAACAAAAAGCGAATGATTAATGATCCAGATGGATT